TGCAAAGTCATTCAATGCTTTGCAAAATCGAGTCATTTATAGATTTGATTATATAGATGAAAGCGAGTTGTTTCCTACGTGAAAAATTCTCTTTTCCATCGATTGCTAACGGAGTAAATACAAGATCACCTTTAACTATATACTTGATAACCCGAACGGACTCGATATCTGTTTTTTTTCGAAGGATCTATGCAATTTATCAATCTATTCTGTCCCCATTAAATAGAGCTCTACTTTTTTTTATTGATGAATGCTGTTTAAGATTGAACTGGATTCATTTCAAATGAACTTTCGAATTATATTCTGTTGATAGATCATCAAAATGTTCCATCCAAGGATTGATCTCATCATCTTTCTGCAGGCTATAATTCAGTTTCAAGTATAGACGGCGAAGCTAGGAAACCTGGGTAGGCTCGAGCTTACCATAGCTTGGATAGCTAAAGGGTTGTGTAGGTTTATCGATTGGATAGATAAAAGCTTCAGTAGGCTCTATTAGATGTAACAATTTTCTATATACTATTTAATTTTCATTTTCTTCTGAGGGTGTGGATGTAGATAAAAAGAACACCCACACCCACACTCACACTCCACGCCATACGCAACCACATGCATCAGGCATAGAACGCATGGATCGACTATAGATGAGCTTGCGGTCTCTCAATAGGTTTCTTCTGCTGTCCTTTTTGTCTCTGCGAAACATATTGTATAAATCATATAAAATACAATCAATTATGTCAAAAATTACAATGGCAAACAGCAACCTCATTATATTTCGATGATATAAATTGATATGAAAGTGATTTGACACAATATATTAGGATTTTTTGATGAATGTTACCTCACTAAAGATGCGCTAATTCATCTTTGAGGATAGGAACAGTCATTAATGCCATAAAATTAGTTTGATATACACGAAAACATTTATTGGATCGGTATTTTGATTAAAAAAAAATCTGCGAAAAATCGAAAAAATTCCAGACTGGCCGGTCTAGAAAAAGTTGTCTCTACCGGCCGGTAAGGAATTCTAGACCGGACTGGAACGAATCGAATCGGACCGGCCGTTTACCTTTACCGGTTGCAACTCTGAACCACACTCCGTCTGACATCCACACCCCACACCTACACCCTACCTATTCGCTCACCAACACTCACACCTGCATCCACATGCACACCCGAATTTAGTAATCTCTCATTACACATCTTCCACTCACGATTAGATCAATGTTAACATGTCGCTTTGCTTTGTTATAGTAAGGATCATGATGTTTTTTATTTTAACTGATCATACTTCGAATACACCACAGAATGAGCCGCAACAATTACGCCAGCCATTGAGTTCCAGACGAGTTCGAATATCTCGTACTGCACCACTACTTATTTCTTTCACACGAATATGAAGATGGACACCTGTAGAATTACCTGAAGTGCCCATAACACCAATTTTTTGTGCTCGTTGTACTTTTGCACCCTTAGAAACTTTTATTGAGCCTGATGTCAAATGACAGTAGCGAATGTCGACCGTGTTATGTCGAATGTCGATGAAGTTACCACAGATTCCGCATACTTTTTGATCATAATCCCCTGCACCGTCGCAAGTGCTCAATACCGTACCGTTCCATATTGCATATAGATTGACTCGTTTGCCACCATAAGATCCAATATCGACAGCCCGGTGTCCAGAATGAAAACCTTGAGTTATACAAGCCTGATTATACAGAACTGGTGGATAATGTTCTTCACAATCGCCTAGCCAGAAAGAAATAGTCAATAAATATAGTGTATTTTCAAGTTCGATTTAAAATTAAGCTAACCTATAGTTAAAAAAATTGCAGTAATAATAATAATAAAATATTTCATTTTCGATAGAAATCTGTAAAAAAACCAGAATGAATGTTTGGTATCGGCATTAAAAAATCAAAATAATTACATATACAAGACAATAGACGTTAGGATATTTACTTTTCTTTCAACGGAGGGCTTAATTGAAGGAAGCATGACACATATAAGAGGATTTGAACTGTATAGAAACTTGGAGCACAGGTATACTCTGTTACAACGGTATATAAAATTTCAAATTTTTATAAGAGCTTAAGATATATCAATGATTGATAGGTTTTTCATTCAAAACTGAATATCATGAAGTCATACATGATATTGGTGTATTTCAGTATTACTATGTAGATATACGAATCAGCTAGATGTTGACGACTGTCAGAATCGGTTGATATTGAGTATTAGTAATATTATTGACTAAGTATTGATTTTGGTATTGCATGTGTACAACTCACTTCTACTTACAACTACCCAAAATTACAGCAATATCCATATAGCCAGTCATGATCGTTCACAGTCACATTAGAAAGCCGGAAAAATCCACTCTCCTATATACATATATACCTTGGCAGCATGTTATGACCTGCGTCCTGTCCAGATGATATCATAAGAGTTTTCTTACCCTTTATGTAATGATATTCGTTACATTATTTGAAGATTGTTTGATGAGATAAAGAAAATATTTTATATAAACACAATGCGAGTACGATTAAAGTCTCGAATAGTGAAAATTTGTAAATCTATGAACCGTTTATCTACTCGGGTATTATTCAAACACTTGCCAATTTTCGGATTCGTATTATTTCGTGACAAAAAAAAATAACCAGTTGACAGGATTGAACAACTGCTATGGATGATTATGTAGAATGACGCTATTCGTATGGATTTTTGCTACTTTTGGATGATCGTTGATCCTTCACATGTAAAAACAATAAGCAAATAATCAGACTATAATTAATTGATAATCAATTCAGAAGCGACCGTCAACTATGGATAGATTAGAATTCATTGCTATTATTACAAATAAACAAATATTATGCTTGTACTATAATCGCCCTATCCTACGAACTATATACAAATCACCACGCTTGAAAATCTATAGCCTTACCCCTATATTTCTTAACTTATGCCATTAAACCGATACCCTTATGACAATATCCACATAACTATTTAGTAATACTCACCATTTCAGCTATATCATTGAAGTCGTACTGTATATCTACAGTGTTAGGCCTATATCCTTATAGCTGTATCTCTGCATTGAAAAAAGTGAGGTACAGTATAAAACTTTCAAGTTTTTGCGAACTTTTACTGTACAATATAAGATATTGTACACATTGACAAGACGTTAATGAGGTTCCGAAATTTAATAATTTTCGTGTAAACACATGGCAATTTTTCCTAACTGAAAAGTTTTATAGTATACCTTCTAGAGGTAGCGCAGTTACTGGATTTTGCACTAGACTAATATTTTTCCTTGTCTCATCTGCAGCACAAACAGGGTGTGGATGTCGGACGGGATGTGGGTGGAAATTAAGCCAAGATGAACTCGATCCACACCCACACCTTTCCGTTTTCCATCGTTTTTCAGTGAAAAAGTACAATTTCATCGTTTAAACAGCATATCACGCGTTTCGCCTCTGTCGGGATAGCGTCTTATAGAAATTGGGTTATGATGGAGCATTTGTCATTCAGGAAGAGAATATGTTTTGCCAAGCACACGTTTCACTTACAATTCAATCGAGGGAATATGTTGGAGTGTCTTGTTGGCATTAATTCAGAAATAATGCTAATGCAAGAGCATTAGCATTACCAATTAATGCTAATGCCTAAGGGGCTCCCCTAAGAAAAAATTAATTTTGTGATTTCTAGCTCATTAGATAGAGCAAAGTGCCTATTTTCAAATGCACTACAGTTTATTGATTTTGTGATGAGATTTAAGGATATTACATAGGTCTTTCTCAATGTCCTACAGAAGAAAATAACGTTTTTTCTAAAAACTTTTGGTTTTTTCTTAAAATAGGATTTTCTATTTTTACGTTTCCGTGTGTCCCAGATTTTTCTGCCATTTTAAACGTTAGAAAGCTGAGCTTGGTGTCAAAATGAAGGCAAAAACTAGCTCTACAACTTGACAGAGCCGAATTTTTCGATTTTTCCATTAATGTTCACCAGAAACTAACTGTTCTGGGCGAAATGATGGAGAAATTTGGGACGCACGGAAACCTAAATTTTGACCCATAATCGTAAGCTAATTCTTCGTAAACTCAAGGTATCAAACTGAAATTTTTACTGTGAGGTGTCTCGCTCGAGATACATCTTCACTGGAAATTTCATCAAGATTGGGTGCTCGGAAAAAAAGTTTCATTTTTGAGGAAGTCCTTAAGCATTCATACCATTGGAATTAATTAATACTTTAGTGTTAGCATTAATTAATTCTAATGCCATTAAGGCCATCACCATCTCTCAAAAAGAGTCTCTTTTCGTCAGTCTGATCGAAATCAAGATAAATGCAGGGAGCAATAACCCATGATCTAATCTCTCATAAACGACAAAAATTTTTACTCGGCACCTCGTTTTTTTCGAAAATTTTTGAAGATTTCTGCCGTCTCTTATTCGAAACAAAGCCGTTTTCGAGAAAAACGAAAAACGAAAAACGTTTTTCATTTTTTCGCGTTTTATAGGTTTTTGATCGCATCCTCAAGAATTCTCGAAAGAGCTTTATTGTAGTCAAGAATTTCTTTTTATTTGAAAGAGCGTGTAAAACTGCAGTGCTTATGAAAGCCAGTTCTTTTATTAAGTTTTGCCTTGGGTGTGGGTAGGTATAGATCAACAGAGTTTTCGCTCACACGTCACACCCACACCTCACACCCATGTCCTTCACCTACATCCATATCCATAACCACACCCACACCTTTCCAAATTTTTCATTCAGTTATAAGAGTATTTTTTCATTTGTATATTAATACTTCGCCATATTGCTAACGAAAAGTGAATCAACTTAAAAAAATCTACTCATGTTCAGAAAACACTTTGGATAGAGATTTTCTAGTCTCAGTAGTTGTCTACAAAAATGTACTATTTAGTTTTCAATAATGCTGGCTCAATTCGGATTTTGTTTTTAAATGCATGAAGTGAAAGTCAATGTGGTTTTTTGTGTCACGTCAATAACGCTAGATTTTTACTGATAAATCCTGTGAGCAAACATTTCTAGAGCTAATCTTGTCAGGTATCTAGAGTAACTTAACATATATCTAACATATAATAATTAGCTTTAGGAAAGTTCATTATCTCAAGATACATCTGTTTTCATTTTGTAAAGTCACGTTGCTAACGAATGACTTTGCCTATATATATAGCATACGTTCTATTTCAAGGATGAACAATACACAGAATAATATGAATGATGAAAAAATGAAACGTTTTCAATTTCAAATTTGTAATATAAAATATTCAAACAGTGAGCATAAAATCTCTAAAATCAACACATACTACTCTTTACCCTCACATATCATAGATAGAAATTCGTAATTCGATATATATGCATATACGACTCAAAAAAAACTTTAAACCAAATACTCAATCCTCATTTGAGATTAAAAATAAAGTTTTAAGAATAGTATTAAAGAACAAAAACGAATACAGTTACAACAATGCGACGATTAAAAAAATTGAGAAAATTTTTGTACAAAAAGCTAATAATATTGTACATATAAACTGAACTTCATTAGACAAATGTAACGTATTCAAAATCGATTTTTCTTTATAAACATAATAAATCAAGTTTTATATTAGAAAAGATTCGTTTTTTGCAACGAACCATTGTTATACGTCATATTACCTCTTGTATTTATCTAGTAGTTTATTTAATGTACATTTATATCTTGATGTACCTATATGCACATCTCTATCCAGTGTGTCTAGGGTCAAGCAAATCAACTCTCGATGAACGCTACTTATTTATTTGAACAATACATTATAATCAGTGTTTTTCGTTAATTTAAAGAAATTTTTCAAACGAGATTATAAACTATATGTTCAAATACAGAGCTATCCTACGTTCATTTATTGATTCATTGTTATATCAGAGCAGCAGATTGTTTGATTTAATTCAATTGTGAGCTTGGGTGTAGATGAAAACAAGACCCAAATACATATCTGCATACCTTGACTTTCAACTGTTCAATGGATCGAAATTCAAATTCTATCGGACATTTGTCCTTTTCACAAGGAAATTTTAGAATTCATCGATTCTCTAATGATAAAAACAAAATCTTTTCACTCGATGACAAATCAGAATATTTGGATAATGTCAGAATATCCAAAACTGAATTTTCTGATAGAAATTAATGAAAATGATTTTTTTCCATGTGATTCATGATCATGTACTAGTCGATATAAGATAATCTAATTCGAAATGACTTTATTATTCCATAACTTTTTCAAGATTATAATGAGAACGATAAAGCAATGTCAATTTTCAAAAATCATCAATTTCAATTAATGTTAAACTTTTGTACTCTATTATTGTCATAGTCACCCACATACATATTGCCCTTTTGATCAAATGACAAACTATTGGGACTATGAAGTTGATTAGATTGTCTCCCTTGGCCGTTTCCACCAGCGACGACACTTCCCTGTGTGGCTCCTTGTGGCCAAAGCATTATTCGATGATTCGACTGGTCAGCTACATAGACAATGCCTGATTGATCTACGGCAACTCCGCGAGGATTCGATAATTGTGTAAGACTATTTCCTTCACCTTTGCCACCAGCCACGATAATACCTTGTTTCGCACCTTCCATCCACTTCATCACACGATGATTGCCTGTATCCGATACGTACACTGAATGATCTCGATCGACGGATACGTATAAAGGACTAGCCAACTGATCGAGACGATTTCCTCGTCCGTTTCCACCTGCAACGACTGTTTCTTCACTTTTTCCTATTCGATATCGTCTGACTTCATGTTCATTGTGATTAACAACATAGAGAAATCCATCATCGTCCATTGTCAAACCTAAACATCGAACATTTGAGATTATCGTTTCTCCATTTTTACCATTATGACGAGGCCATCGAACTACCCTTCTATTGCCATAATCACTAATGATGAGACTATTTCTTTCTTTATCAATAATCACATCTGCCGGACCGTTTAACTGATCAGGGCGATTTCCTTGCCCATTTCCGCCGGCCACAACTCGACCAGTCGTCGCACCACATTTCCATTCCACAATACGATGATTGCGGTATTCAGCAACGTAGACAGTTTGATCATCATCAATACACAAACCATTTGCACGATAGAGTTGATTCATTCCGCTGCCTTCTCCATTTCCTCCAGCGACAGTGATACCATTCTGAATCCATTTTGCATTAGCATTCGAATTTGCACTGCGTAGTAATGGTGCTGAAACAAAATAAAATTTCGCCTATTCACATCGAAACAATGTAGTGGATGAAAATTGATATTTGAAGTAAAGAACTTTGATCAATAGAGTGAGAGAGAAAGAAAGAACAGTTTTATTCAATGATCATGTTGACTAATGTCTCAATGGTAATCTCGTTGTTTTAATATTTTGAATAGAGAAAAACCTAAAAGCTTCTATTGGATGATAATTAACACTTGCATCTTCGAATT